GCTGTATGGAAGATCAATTTGCACTGTAAACTTTCACCCAGATCACAATAAAAAGCTTAGAGGAAAAAAAAAAAAAAAAAACTTCAGTGAAGACAAGTGCACACTGGATTGGACAAAAGATTAGTTAACAGATTATTACCCCAATCTAAGGTAAATTGACAAAACATGCAATCAAGATGTACTGATTATCACTGGTGAGTGGAATGCAAGAGTTGGAAGTAAAGAAGAATCACCAGTAGTTGGAAAATTTGGCCTTGGAGACAGAAATGCTGGAGATTGCATGATAGAATTTTGCAAGTCCAACTACTTATCCTTTGCAAATACCTTTTTTCTACAACACAAATGGTGGCTATACACATAGACTTCACCAGATAGAGTACACAGGAATCAGACTGACTACATCTGTGTCAAGAGGTGATGGAAAAGCTCAGTATCTTCAGTCAAAACAAGGCCAGGAGGTGATTGGAACAGACCATCAACTTTCTATTTGCAAGTTGAAGTTGAAGTTGAATACAATTAAAATAAGTCTTTGAGAGCCAAAATATTACCTTGATAATATCCCTCCTGAATTTAGAGACCATTTAAAGAATAGATTTGATTTACTGAACACCAATAACTGAAAAACAGAAGAACTGTGGGATGACATAAAGAACATCATCCATGAAGAAAACAAAAGGTCATTAAAAAGGCAGGAAAGGAAGAAAAGACCAAAATGGATGTCAGAAGAGACTCTGAAACGTGCCCTTGAATGGAGAGTAGTTAAAGCAAAGGGAAGAAATGACAAGATGAAAGAGCTAAACAAGACTTCAAAGAACAGCTAGAGAATACAAAGTCAATTATTATAATAAAATGTACAAAGACATGGAGTTGAAAAGCCAAAAGGGAAGAACACTCCCGGCATTTCTCAAACTGAAAAAACTGAAGAAAAAATTTGAGCCTTGACTTGCAATATTGAAAGATTCTATAGGCAAAATATTGAATGATGCAGGAAACATGAAAACAAGATGGAAAGAATACAGCGTCACAGTACCAAAAAGAATTGGTTGATGTTCATCCATTTCAGGATGTAACATGTCATCAAGAACCCATGGCATTGAAAGAAGAAGTCAAAGTTGTACCGAGGGAAGTGGTGAAAAACAAAGCTTCAGGAATTGATGGGATACCCATTGAGATGTTTCAACAAACAGATGCCACACTAAAGGAACTCACTTGGCTATGCCAAGAGATTTGGAAGACAACTACCTGGCCAACTGACTGGAAAAAATCCGTATTTTTACCCATTCTAAAGAAAGGTGACCCCACAGAATGTGGAAATTATCAAATAATATCATTAATGTCACACACAAGTAAAATCTTACTGAAGATAATTCAGAAACGTTTGCAGCAGTATATTGACAGAGAACTTGCTGAAATGTAAGCAGGATTCAGAAGAGAACATGGAACAAAGGATATCATTGCTGATGTCAGATAGACCTTGGCCCAAAGCAAAGAATACCAGAAATATATTTACTTATGTTTTATTGACTATGCAAAAGCATTTGATTGTGTGGATCATGACAAATTATGGATAGCATTAAGAAGCATGAGAATTACAGAACACTTAATTGTGCTCATGAGATACTTGTACATAGACCAGGAGGCTGTTGTTTGAACAGGACAAAGGGATATGCATAGTTTAAAATCAAGAAGGGTGTGCATCAGGGTTGTATGCATTCACCATACTTATTCAATCTGTATTCTGAGCAAATAATCTGAGAAGCTGGACTATATGAAGAAGAACTTGGCATCAGGATTGGAGGAAGAATCATTAATAACCTGTGTTATGCAGATGACACAACTTTGCTTGCTAAAAGTGAGGATGACTTGAAACATTTACTGATGAATGTTGAAGGCTATAGTCTGCAGTGTGAATTACACTTTGGGCCAACTCGATGGCAAATAACAACAACAACAACATACATAAAACAAAAATCCTCACAACAAGACCAATAAGCATCATTACGATAAATGGAGAGAAGAGTGAAGTTGTCAAAGACTTCATATTACTTGGTTCTACAATGAACAGCAATAGAAGCAGCAGGCAAGATAACTGATGTTGTATAACATTGGGCAAATCTGCTGCAAAAGACCTCATTCAAGTGCTGAATAGCAAAGACGTCTCTTTGAGGACTAAGGTGCACCTAACTCACGGTATTTTCAAACAAGCCATGGCATTTTCAAACACCTCTTAGGCATGTGAGAGCTGCACAATGAATAAGGAATACCAAAGAAGAGTTGTTGGTTTGGAGTTGTGGTTTTGGCAAAGAATGCTGAGAGTACCATGGAGTCCTAAAAGAACTAACGAATCTGTCCTGGGAGAGGTGTAACTGGAAAGCACCTTGGAAGTGAGAATGGTCAGACTTTGTCTCACCTACTTTGGTCACGTGGTCAGAAGAGACCATTCCTGGAAGAAGGATATCATGCTTGGCAAAGTGGAGGATCAATGAAAAAGGAGAAGGTCCTCAACAAGATGGATTGACACAGTGGCTTCAACCATGGGCTCAAGTATAGCAAACATTGTGGGGCAGGCACAGTGTCGGGCAGTGTTTCGTTCTGCTGAGCATGAGGTCACTGTGAGTCGGAAACGACTCAACAACACCTAACAGCAACAACAAAATGTTTCTATATATTATAACCTCATACTATTTTAAAAATCATGTATTCTAAAAAGAGCAAAGATTGATTGTTCTTAAATGAGTGAAAGATACTATTCTTTTAAAGAAAATTTAGATACCGCTTCCAGGATGGTGGTGTGAGGACCTCCACAGACTTTCACCAGAAACAACCATTAGTATTGAAAATTACTTAAAATTTCCAGAGACTTTAAATGTTTTTTATGTTTGTTTTGTTTGCTAAAATAAATAAATGAAAAAGAAACAATCATTTAAAATTTCTGAAATTTATCTTAAAGTCATACAGTAACAGAAGAAATACTTACTCAAGATAATCTACTAAATATTGACAAGAACAGTGACTGTAGAACCTGAGACATGAAATCCTTCCTCTTTCCCTTCTTCTGTCTCAGAATAACAGAATCCTCTCCTGAGGTAGGTTTGTTCCACATAGTAGAATTTCCTCTCTCATCAGCTCCCAGTCAGGTGCTACATACGGTATTCTCTGGGCTGTGCAGGCCACCGATATTTCTCACCCCCTACTTCAAGTCCATAATTCAGAGACTAACTTCCTTATCAGTACAGCTGAGAAGTCAGGCATTCCTTTCATCCACTCCACCTCCACTCATGGGGGAGGGGGGATGACACTATACTAGCCATTGTAACCCAAGAACACTGATGCTTTGATCAGACTTGTCCCAACCTGTTTGTAGGACAGGTGTTCTATGATAGGAGATGTAAAGTGAAAAGATCAGAACCCATTGACCTCACCCAGAGCTGTACTAATAAAGGAGAGGAGTGAAGCTGTCAATGTTTGTTTTCACCAGATCCAGAGAAGTGGTATAGTTTTCCCATACAATAAAAGAAAGGTCATAAGAACAGAGACCTCTGAAGCTCACCTCAAGGAAACTGACTTCACTAGAATAGAGTGAGGAGAAAATTCAAGCTTGAAGATGCTTTCAAAGATAATAGAGATTTTGCTGGTAAACAATTAAGACAAGGGTATTAGTTCATTGAGATCAGTAAGCTAAACTATTGGCCAGCTAGTTTACCATAGAGAACACCGGAAAAAAAAAACCCAGCTAAGTCCTCTGGAATCAGGATAAAACTC